TATATATATATATATATATATATATATATATAAACCAATCCGTTCACGTGACGTGAACCACTGACACAGTCCTATTGATGTCCAAGGCAATGCACCTTTCCGTGTCACAAACGAACCCCCAGTGAATGACAGCTTACGATGGTCCTTGTGAAGTTTGCGGATGAGGCTGTTCACGAGCACTTTCAAGCCTCAATGAGCTCTAAGATTCAACTACTGTTTCGCTCAGAGACCTTGGGTACGAAGTCACATTACGCCAACTAGCCCCCTGAAATTGACTTCCATCTGATTGGTGCGAAATATGTTGTTCATCAAAATCTGGTCTTCTGAGAAAGGCTATGCAACGGAAGTTACCTAATGGATGGCTAAACCAAGTAAAATTTATGAAGAAATCACGACCCATAGAGAATCCATAGATCAACTGTGAGTTTACAATATTATCCACAAATCGTTAAGAGTAACGCACATTACTTTTGAGATTTTCGATGGAATATCAGTGGCCGTGGTATCTGGTCGGGGATACTAGTCGGTACTACTCTTAGGGAGTTGCAACGAAGTTTTGAGAGCCACGCCAGTAGGTTTTAAAACAGAAATGGAGGTGAATCTCTATTTAAATGGTTTCGTGAGCTACGTCGTTGGTCTTTCCAAGAAATCAGGACCAAGGTATGCGCACTTTTACTCGGGATTCCTGAAACCTGGTTTTCATCTGTTACATCTACACGTCTCAAAACTATTAAGCCATGCATTTGAGAGGTTCACACCACTTTTAGGAATCCTTCCTTATTTCTTCCCATATTTTCGCACCTCGCAGCAATACCAAACTTCACTGGCCCAGGTCAAGAATGAGTATCACACCGCATTTATCAGCAATAAATCTCGGCCATCTCGTCTCATTTTGGCCGGCCACTCGTCAGTTCACTATTTCACCGAACAGGGCGTGGTACACATGGTGTGGAAGAGCATTTCAGATATTACATAAGCCTCACTGAGCCGTAAACTGCAGAAAGCAGATTTTCAATTGACCTATTGCATTTGGTACATCGGATGCATCTCCAACGTTTGCCGCAGTCGCGTCAGATTATTCTACTCTAGCTTTTGTTTTGCGTCCAGCTATAATCATATATGCTTAGCAGTTGTTACCCACTGGGGAAAACGGTTCTTCGTATATGATATTGTTTTCTTCCCTGATCCAAAGGTATTCACTGGGTTGTATCCAGTTACAAGTGCGTTTAGATTGCATCGCAGACAACAAGTTGGAGCTGTTTGGTAGGTAGCCCAATCTACAGAGCACATCGTTGTAAGTGGCCATATAAATCCCCACATATTCACCGCCACATCCTAAGTTGGCTGCGCACTGAGCCATAACCACACGAAAAAGAAGTATTTTCAGTTGAAATCAAAGTGTTCTTTGATGTTCACCACTAACCATTGTTTCAGACATGACATCGTATCGACCGGTATTTGTTGTGCTAGCTAGATGAGAATGCAGCAACTTAAGAATTCTGGTTTGTCGCATACACATTGATCTGGTGATGAAGTTATCTGGCACCGAAAATAACAATAAAGCCGTTTAACTAATCGAATCTGATTTGATTTTTCGTGAAGCTCTGGGTGGTGCTGTGTTTGGAAAGTAACAACGTAAGCTGTAGCGTACATACTTGTTAACAGTCATTCGTTATTCTACTGGTACGAACGGCGAGCACCACGAGGTGTCATTCACTTGTTCGGTGGTTACACAATATCGATCAAATTTTCAAAACAAATAACACACAATCTAACTCAATTGGACAGGAAGAATCGACACGTTTGTCGATATGCTGTGTGTTTTTCATAAGGCCATCTGAATGTCTTCAGCGATGCGGGTGTTCAAATACTCATATCCTGCTTTTCGAATTTGTACGTTGTCTGCTTTAACTTTGCAAAATTACACTCCGGTGTTTAATATCCTATGGTCTAATCGGTATTCCGATGAGGAACTTGTTGCAAACGAACATTCCGTATCCTTTATCCGTGAAACTAAACCGAATCGCGCTCAGTTAACGCCAACGAAAGTGGAGATCCAGGAAGCCGGGACTATGTAACTTCCACAGTGAATTGACCCTAATGACATGAATCCGAAATTTCTGGCTCAGTGTTACCTTCCCTGCGGTTGTTTTCCAGACTGTTTAGCTGTCTCTTACCTTCCTTGTCCACCTCGGTAAATAAAACAAGCAACAGTTATCTTCTTCTGCGAAGGTGGCATTCGGTTATCTTTTCTGAACTGCTCTTAGTTTTCAAGGCGAGCCTCGAAGGCGAAACCAATGGTCTTTACTCTGATAAATTTCTGGCTCAGTGTTACCTTCCCTGCGGTTGTTTTCCAGACTGTTTAGCTGTCTCTTACCTTCCTTGTCCACCTCGGTAAATAAAACAAGCAACAGTTATCTTCTTCTGCGAAGGTGGCATTCGGTTATCTTTTCTGAACTGCTCTTAGTTTTCAGGGCGAGCCTCGAAGGCGAATCCAATTGTCTTTACCCTGATGACGGTTTTCCTCGGGGATGTATAGGGATTGAGACAAAACTCTATTTCCGGTATTGGTGGTTACGGAATTTTGTGAAACACACATTTGCATGACTCTATTTTGAGCAGTCGTCCAATTATCGAGGTGGAATTATTCTAGTAATTCCACGCCAGAGGAGGAAGCACTGAACTCGATTTTACCCTTACTAGAGCTAATTAGTAGTGCATATCCTTGGCCGTGCCGGAGTTTGGACTCTACACATCTGATATGCAAGGTGAGGGTGTTGGCGCTACCCCACTAGCGTACGCTGGATAGATCTGGATTTTTACTTCTGCACATGTGGGCGCTTGGGTGATGTGAGCGGAAATCCCGACGCCCATGTTATCTATTTACTTTTATGTTTATCTTTTTATTTTACTCGTAGATAAGCCACCTATGGAACACCATTTTTACACACAAGTCTTTGTTTAGAGGCAATGCCGAAACTTGGGTATCGAAATCCATCATTCGGTTATGTTGGGGATAATGATCAACATGTTTCTTTCGTGGAATGAACCCCTTGTACACTTAGTCACATGTATAGTTCCTCACAAATCATATTCATCTGTTTGCCGGGTCTGTTTTAGGCTCCCTGAATAGCACTACCACAGAGTGCTTAAATGTTGCCTTTCATGGAGCGCTTTCGAGACACACCGGTAGTACTGTTGTGGTCAAACTTTAACTACCTATGCAAGGCATATCAGCTGATAGTCCTCAGTCTGAACACAAATCGGTAACTTGAAATGTTGCACTGTAGCCAAATGGTTAACAATAGTGAGAGCAATGTAAATCAGACTTTTACTGAACTCTTCCTTAGTTGATGCCTTGTTACCGAGTTCGTGATATGTTAACCCATTCCCGCTTCTCAAGTGACTTACCTTTCACGACCAAATGGTAACATTTGAGTACTGTTTTACCGTTTAACTTGCGCGACCGTATCCAGGGCGTGCTTAACTATCAGAGTACATATGGCGGCCCTTACCATGTGCCTCGCCTTTAGTCTCAAGGTTTTCTTCATCGATGGGTATGTTCAAAGTTGAATGGCATATCAGCGCAATGCCCCCTGTCCGTCGTCTTTACAATGGATTGTGAACATAACCACTTTACGTTCATGGGTCAGTCTTGCATATTGGTGATAATTTTCTATAAAAAAAACTACCCACCCATTATCCTGTGTTCGATTTATAGTTTTATGAATCGGCGAATCGTCCAAGAAAGCCGTTGAGTCAAGCTACCACGGCCGTATCAATTTTTGATTCTGGTTCTGTAAGATTGCAGCGCAACGCAAACCATACGAAAATCGGATTTAAGGTAAGAGACGCCCACTTCTGGCTTACAAGTGCTTGATTTATACGGACAGTTCAGATGGGTTCTATAGAACCAATAAATACCAAAGAAGAGTGTCATCTTTATAACTAAATTGAACGCCTCGGCTGACGTTTGAAAGTTCAGTGGGAAGTTGTTTAACTGGCTGTTGTTTCATTCGTTTTGCTGTTGTTCGAGTTTCTCGTGTACTTACTCAATGCACACAGTTTCCGTACAACAACTTTTCAATAGCTAAATCTTCTGTAATACAACTTCCCAGGCGGTATCACCACGAGGTATAGTAGGGGCAGGTGTATTGGAGAGCTGCGTGCTATATCGCTGCTCACGGACGGTTGTCCTTAATCCCTGGGAAAGGAGGCTGTTTCCGAAGGTGGATCTTTTTGGATATCACCTAGGTCTGCAGTTACCTTTGATTTGACCAAATCAAGAGAGACCAAGAGTATTTTTTATCCAGCCACACAATCCCCAGGGAGGAATTCCTCACGTGAAGCAGTGAAGCATCGGTGTTGAACACTGATGTCATGCTGTCGATGATGATGATGACGATGATGATTTCTCACGTTCTTTTGCCTGTCACTTATCATCATCATCAAGCAGACGGTGGACACTCGGTGAACTCATGCACCAAGACGTTTAAAGACAAAACGGATGAATAGAACATGGATCCTTGTGATCTGGGCAACTGTTTGATTAGGAAAACATCAACTTGGGTGATCGACACCACGCGAGTCCAAATCGAATTGAATAAATGTCCCATGAGTCTGTTTGATTCAGCTCATAGTCGTCTGTTATCGTTCACGCGGAAGATGTTGGTTTTTGAGCACATCCCCAACAAACCGTTTTCTAATGTCACAAAGCGTTCGTCATCACGAGGTTGTAACACAATCATGAGTACTCTTCCAGTTCATTTGACGCTTGATTTCTGAAGAAGAAGACATCCAAGGATTGATTAGATTTACTCACGGGTTTGTGACTATTTTAAATCTTATTGTTAGTTTTGCTACACATGCGGTCGTAGCAACCGGAGGAATAATATATCCAAAGAAATAGAGGTCGTATGTCGCTTTGGTCAAACCGGTAGATGTTCCTGACGAAGGAATGTAAATTTTCTCTTGGGCAGGCCAACTAATCGTGCATATCAACATGTTTCGTTAAGTGGCCTCCCTGGGATAGTTTATTTCACTGTGCATAGCTGGCCTCAATGTATGTGTATCTGTGTTTGACTTTTTATAAACTTTATCTGTCAACAGTTTGTCACACAGCGCCTGTCATTCGCGCTAAGACTAGTTTATCGGTTCTCCGTGCCTACTGCGTGCGGAGGTGAATTCCGATTTTAATACAGTGACGCGCTGGATTGATGAAAACGCAACACAAGAACAATTAGGATCGCAGAGACTCACCTCGCTCAGGTGTCTTCACGTGGCACAGCGAGCGCCATTCGTAACCCGCAGCTATGGCCTGCTGACTGACAGGCTTGTATATTCAGCTGGTACGAGATCTTCATTCTGGTTGATGTGAGGACCATTTAGGTGATCATCTGCATGTAGACAACGAGATGATTTATGTTGGATTACCACTTTGCTTTACTGTATCGTTATCACCAAAACCATGTAATTTGTCAATATTTATTATGAAGCTTGTGGCGAAACGTTCTTTCCAATCTGTTCACGATAATGCCGAACGTATTACATTGCCCACGACTGGATCTTTCTATCCATTTAAATTTTTGTACTCGGATGATCCAGTCCAATACGAATGTGGTTTTTGGTTCACCACTGCCTTCTTTCGACGCTCATCCTTCTTGAAGAACCATTCATTTCCCGTGCTAGGTCAAGGAACTTGCCAGGGAAAATCAAGAGTTGTTGTCAGGAGTCGAGGAATTATTGGAACGGTTGCGTAATTCGAAGGTATGTTGACGTTTGTTCAGCTGTAGCACTCTTTTGGTGCCTAACTGCCATGCCACCCGAAGGAAGCACGAGGGCTGGGACACTGCCATGTTGCCCAAGCCTAGACGAGGGAAGTCGAGAGACAGAGGTCCGGTTCGAACCACGGACCTTCCGGTCCATGCGCCCGAACCACAGAGTTGCTATCGCAGATGTTCGGTGAGTAATGGGCATCCAAGCTATACACTACTCGAAGGGAAATACTACCATCAGGCATGTGAAACAAAGTCTACGTGCGTTCGTGTGTCGTGGGACTGATCAGGTTTAGGTTGTCACTTAGTGAGAAAGTGAACACGAGTGTAATTTTGTTTGTCTGAGCCGTATGTAGTCCGTTTTCCTTTTCAGCGTTAGTTGAAAAGAATACTCCTGCTCAAAATAAATACCTCTAGTGAGCTTGAGTGAACCGCATTAGCGCATATACATGTGAATGATATGGTTGGGAGACCTGTTGATAGCAGGGAGATGGACAGAGGGGGAAAATTCAAATTCTCTTACAAATTTCTTCTGAAAAACGGTCATCTAGTTGAATGGGAAAAATCAACTTTCGAATCTCGTAGGCAGGTCTCCTGCATATTTTTAGCTTGGGAGAAGCACTTCATGTGTGTATGCTGGACATGTTAAATTCGTCAGTCTGGTGTGCTTGATGTTTTGGGTATGTTGTATCCCAACCGCCCGACCATTATATGGACACCTTGGCAATGGGGGGAAAGTGGAGCCGGTATAGAAAGTCCTTTCCAACAAAGGGGAAAAGACAGTGAGTACCAGTCGTTCCTACTAAAGGGTAATATCGCCGAGAAGGCCTTGAACTTTGTCCGAAATTACTTTTTTTGTAAAAGGCAGTGTGCAATTGGTGGTATCGGACTTGGTAAACATGCTTTCGCGTTTAAGCTTTGGGTGGGCTCAGACCAGAATGTTTCACTATCTTTAACAATCCTCTCTAAGTTCATGTACCAAGGTGTCGTTCCTTTGCTCGAAGTTTTATCACACGATTTGTTATTAATCAAAGTTGATTAATCCTAGATATGATAACACTCATATGATCGATGAACATTTCGGACAGTTTGCCGTCGGTTTCAAACTTCGTTGGCTTCTTCAGTTATGTGCAGTCCCCGCATCCCCACTGATTATTTCATCATTGAACAACAAATATATGGAACTTCGCCATGAAATCTCAGTCAGTGCGCTCACTGATGGTGCCTCGTTGCAAGCTAATTACCGTACTCGGCGAACAGCCAACAGCCAATATAGTCACCCGAGCCACTAATATTTAGACTTACTACCAGTGCTGAGAATCGCTTAACTGTAGCATCCTTTCGATGCCTAGCTGCCCTGCCACCCGAAGGTTGCAAGAGGGCTGGAATACTGCCGGTTCGCCCAAGCCTAGACAGAGGAAGTCGAGAGGCAGAGGTCGGGTTCGAACCACGGACCCTCAGGCCGAAGTTTGCACGAGGGTTGGGGTACCGCCAGGTTGCCAAAGCCTAGACAGGGGAAATCGGGAGACAGATGTCGGGTTCGAACCACGGACCTTCCGATCAGTAAATTCGCGCTCTAACCACTTTGGCCATCTCGCTCCAACCAGTGCTGAGCCACACCATAGTGCACTTCGGACAGTGTACCCATAAAACACTTGTGACCTACCTAACCAGTTACTAGCTTTTCTACTGCAACTTATACTTCTGAGTACAATACAATGCTAAACACGCAGAAGCGTGTTTTTGTGCCCTATTTGGTACGTATGAATGAATAACATATCAACTTCCGGGTGTCTGAAACCTAGGCATTTTGCCCCACCATCACTCAAATTTAAATGAGTACATGAGGAAAAAGGAGTAATCAGAAATAAATGGAAGAAATGAGAAATTTGGAAAACGGTTTCGAAACACTTGTGGACAGAACTTTTCCCAATTTGTTGTTCTGTATGTTGTTGACCATTACTTGGTCGACTGTAGATCAGGGTAACCATATGACGTTTGATCGAATACATTTGTGTAAGCGGAAGTATCCCGACAATATGCAATGTAATTCTTCAGGTCGAATTGGCTCAAATGGTCAGACTATATCGTATCGTACAGTTGCCTCTCACTTCGCGCAAACAGAGAGTGACTAGATTTCCTGCTGAGGGAATTTCGTCTCCCTGAAGATCCACGTGGTCAGCGTAAAAGATTTCCAAACAAAACTTAATATTCCCAAAGTAGTAGTTCCCTACTTTCCCATAAAACTGATGACGAAATTCCATAGTCTTAGCCAAGACAAGTTTTAGTTATTCGGCAAGCCTGGTCACTTATTCCATCTCTATTTAACGTACTGCAGTTTGTTCATTGAAATTAATCTGCTTCCTCCGAACGTTCGTTTGCTTTTACATTGTCCACGATGCAAACTGTGCTCAAAATTGCTTGAAACATCCAAGTTGGTGGTAACGTGAACTCAATCAGCCTATTGATCTACACATGCTATAGGCTGAACAGAACACTGTGGCTAGCCATCATTGAAGTCGTTCTACACGGACTGACATAAGTAACTAGTCTCCATGCCATTACTGGGCCACGTATGATTCACTTTAGCTCTACTCGCACAAAATGTGCCAGCTCTTCAGTTTTCTATCACAAGACCAATCATCTGACCCCATCACGACACATAACATGCGGCAATACAAACACAGTAAATTAGGAGGTGGGTGATCGATTGAAGCCACTCCGCAGTTCTACTGCTGTCAACGCGTGGATAGCGCAGACATAAGATGCAATCATCCAACACTAATCCATTGGGTGCAGTCGGTTATAGCTGTTCAGAATAACCGACTATATCAGTGTGGATAACCTGACTAAATTGCTCTTTGTTTGCTGGAGTGACACGCCTGAAAAGTTACTTACATTGGCCTGACTAAAATGAAGTCGTAAGCAGACTGTGACATGATATAGCTGTCAAAAGTCATGGGTTTTCGAGCATTTTTCTGTCTCGTGCACCCTTTCAGCACACTGCCCAAGTCCTTTCTCTCTCGTTTCAAGTTGCCGAAACCATGAAGCGCATTCCAGTCAAAATGAATCCTGTAACTGAAGCCAATGTATGCTCCCGTCGAAATCTCAAATGGACGTTCTTACACTACCATTGATATTAGTTAATCAATTCACATAAACCTCTCGTTTCTGCTGTTCCCCAACTCATTTTGCGGTGCAACCTTCAGCTGGCCCGACATGCAGAATATCGATTCATGTTTTGCTATTGGGTTGTCAAATGTGACTCTGCATGAACAGTTAAGTAGCCTTGCAACCTCGCTGTTCTTTCATTGCTATCAACCTGTTATTCAGATTGTTTAGAAAAAATGCCTAAACAAAACACCAGTCCACTCGGGCCCGTTTAGCTTAGCTGGTGCGTTCTTCTCTCGCAAACACTGGGCCCGTAGTTCACCATCTGAAGCTAAACATGATACTATTTGGCGCAACAAATCGCCACTCTTCGTCTTCATATCCATCTACCACTGCTCCCTACTGGAGTACTTCATTTCCTAACGATTTTTGTGGAACTTCGGAAATGCGATAGAAATCATGTCATGTTACGCAGCATCCATCCATTCTACAGTGTCCAACGAGCATTACCATTCATTCTATTGGGATCAGTGCCGTTCGTTTTGGTTTGGTTTGCACACCAGCTAGCATTCATTTTTGGTTACTTACCTGCCAGTAAGATCCAATCAAGACCACCTAGATACAGTTGACAAACCCGAGGCCAAATTTTGACGGGATCTCAGTCAGATGAAGTGTCGTGTTTGAAGACAGGAATAGAAATAATTGCTTCTGGTTAAGATTCACAATTGGTAGTAATTGTAATCGTTCAGCTGTAACACCCTTTCTGTGCCTAGCTGCCATACCACCCGAAGGAAGCACGAGGGCCTAGGTACTGCCAGATTACCCAAGCCCCGATAGGGGCTGTGGAGGTGCCGCTATTGGGTCCGAAGCACGGATCTTCCATTCATTAAGTATGTGCCTTAACCACTCAGCTTTCTCGAGCTCAGATTCAGTATTGGGTATTTCTTTTTTTCTCAGTATAAGTAGATCCGTTCTTCCTAGCAGATGTTGTGTACGTTGCTGTATTGTTAACTGCCCAACCTGGAACTTATCGCGGAAAGAACCGAGCCCAAACGGGACGGGGATTGCTTGTTTGGACAGAGTGACCGGACTTGAGAGAGTAGGTATCCTATACAGTTAATACCCCTTCAAACTGCACATTCACTGGAATGACCACAGTCGTTTTCTCGACCACGATTCTGGAGTATTAACTTGTCCAGGGTTGTTTAGTGCGTTGTTAGGCCATTTCCACTATTTCAGTCTTGTGTCAACTTTTTCACAGAATAGATTACTAAAATGAATTAGTTGTAAACATCCTCATCTCCTGACTATCACTAACTGCTGCTGCCATGGTCCGGTCTGCTCAATCTCAACTGCTAATTATTTTACGGCATAGTTGTCTCCGTCAAGCCCAAGAGATTGGTTGGCATGACCGTACAAAGCACGGAACGTAAGAGGTTTCCTCTCTCAGTTAGATGTTTGGGACCAATTGAGTAGTCATTGTTTCAGAGGTGTTTGGTAGGCAATCAGTGGATTTACTGCTGGGTAAAGTTTCTCTTTTGCTAGTCATCTACACTAACCAACAGATAGGAACTTCGGACTGACACCAAGCACTGGTCAAGTCGAATTGTCCTAAGAAATCTCACTGACTGGTTCTCTGGCTACCTTGAAACCCGGTCATTTTGGTAACTTGTCCACTTTTTTTCTAAAAGTCGAAGTTTTTCTCCCTCTGCTTTTTGACCACATGATGCACGTGACACCGAAAGGGCTGTTATATGGTGTTTCTCTTTTCGTCTGCTTATGAGTTCCCAGCACCAGTTACTAGGCTAATAAGACTTGCATAGGTGATCCGAACTTACGAAAACGGGCATCCACTCGATGGTGATATCGAATCGACGTGAAATCGGTTTTTATAATTATCCTAGCTGTTATTTTTAAGACCAGGGGATACAATCAACAACAGAGTGTCACTCATTATGGATCAAAAGGCGGTGCGCGACCCAATATGACTGTTAGACACCGGTGTCTCCATTTGGTATTAACTGCCGGATCAATACCATCACACGCTGTTCAGTTGGCGTTATGTCTGTCTAGCTATTTGAAACTGGTTCTTATGTTTCACTTGGACGATGTTGGTCAAGATTGGATAAATGGGATGACCAAGATGATCCGCTTCATTTACATAAGTCGGTTTTCCGTGGTGCAGACTCACTGGAAGTAGATAGGACTAGAGGAAATCGTTTCTCCGTACGAGAAACTGTTTCTCTCCAGAGACGGAAGAAACAAAACAACATGGTAATCAGCAGTACTAATTAAACAAGGTCATCTGCTGATTCTGCTAACGTGGGTCACGTCACAGCAGATAGAGATACACACTAACAAAATTACACAATCGTTGTACCAGAACTTGACCCAGGAGGCCTTGCTCCATCCATCGATTAAGTTGCCTGGAACTTCAAAAATGTCGAAATTTAAACACTTACTGGATGTTACTAAGTGCTGCTATGTGATCCTGATCGAACTTTTCTAGTACCTGACCATCCTTGTCTCCCGCTTCCATGGTACTCTGCCCTCGGGTCTTCCCAAATATGGGGCCATCTGTGGTGCTCCGAGTCTTCTTCCACTACCATCTACTTCAAGATTTTTCTTTCTTCATTCATTCTTCATATAATGACTGCAAGCCTTATTAGTCCAAAATTAATTTGTTTTATCGTGCTCGCTTGGTTTGTTGTCAACAAAATGAGCTGCACTATTAGTACGCCGGTCCGTATCATAACCAAGCACACCAAAATGCTATCTTGGTATCTTTTTAGGATATCCAGTTTGTGTTTCGCACGGTTTCTTCTGTTGATGTATCCCTATTCGTGAGGTCACATGCTATATTCAGGAGAATTCTCCAAAGAATCGATTGCATGAATCCATCGTAGCGTCACGGTCGATTCTGTCGAGTTTTACTGGTCCAGCTTGATATCCTCAAGGTGAATACTGACATACGTTGACGGCTTCGTCCTGAACACATGCCACTGACCAAGGTGTTTATTTATGCAAATTTTGTTAGGAGGACAAACCTTCATTTGCACCATATCCATAAGTTGGTTCTTGGTTGAACGTTCTCCAGTTCGAGAGGAACACCGTAGTCGTTTAACGGCGTCCATTCCTTCTACAAGTTGGTTTCAGCACTTCCATAATTTTTCATCACCACTATCTTTGTTGTAGCACTCTGAATCGTATGCGCACGAGGAGACCTATTTGCCCATAATTTTCAACACGAACTTTTTTGTAGCACTCTGAATCGTATGCGCACGAGGAGACCTATTTGCTGTCAGATTGTTTTAGACAGGAATGTGGATGAGATCTATGGAAAAGACGTCAGGGAGCAGGAAATCGGTTTTTTCACATCTATCTGTCTAGACACGCAAAATCAGTAGTGCCTATCACACGGTTCGCCGATGCACAGGATATTGGTGCTGTCATTTTTTACGGGCAGTGTTAATTACCAGTCACTTCAATCACCACTTGATAGACAAACTATATGACAGTCCACCGTAGTTCTCTCTAAATAGCGGACAGTTCATCTTTCCATGCAAAGGTTTTTCTAAGATCCTCTCAGACGACTTCGTTTTTCCCCCGTAAAATCCCGTGTTGCGGGGAAAATGCAGGTGCCCGAACATCGTTCATCTTCATTAGGGCGTGATATCAATACTGCCACTACCGTGATGAGGCAACAGCTCCGTCCCAACGACAAGGCGCCCAAATCTAGAATCATAGCCCCCCAGTTAATGAAGAGCCCTACGTTTTGTTCCTTAAGATCGAGGGATCAGAGTGAACTCTTATTTATTCCAATAGCAATACTGTAATAGCGATAATAGTAAATGTGTCATGGAAAGTATTTACGACCGGTTGTCTCCATCCAGTAGACAAAAAGGTCAGTGTGTTCCTCTGGCTCGTCAACCGTCAGAAAAGATGGCGTATTTCTGTGTATCTGTAACTGATTAGAAAACGCGACATGTCAAACTGCCACGGTAGGTCGGTTATGGTTTTCGTAGCTATTCAGTTTTATGATGCAAGTCACATACACACAAGCGGACGCACATTATTTCTTCTTTCTTCGAATGTTTTGGTTGTGCAATATTACGCTCAATGCCGCAGTAAAAGTGAGCGTCTCTCTTAACCCCACTGAGTCTGAAAATTGATCTGGTTTCGTATGATAACAATACAAGACGGGGTAATTATGACCATACAAATAGAAATGATACTATATCACTTTATTTACGTGAGTTATCCTCTATTTGACCTGCAAATTTAACGGAATTCACCCGTGTTTCTCTCATGCAGGTGCAGCTCTCAAATTCCGACGCTGATGAAAGAAGATGAACCACCCAGGCTCACCTAACACGTGGCACAAGACAGCCGTTGTACGGACTTGCTCAGTTTAAAACATATTGTATAATATATATTGTATATATACAACGCGTACACGTAGTGTTTCCCTATCTACCCTTGAAAAGTCGAAACTTTCATTCACCGCCAATTTTTGCATTCGAATGTATGGAGTGCAGACGTTTGTCTGAAATTGGAGCTTTTTTTTACCTAACCCACACCGTCTGCTCTAAAAGACAAGCTTCAAACGAGTGACTTGAAGGCAAATAGGTTGTTCAACGTACTCTGCCTTGATTAGGAAATTTAACCTTTCGTTTGTTTGAATATGCGTCAGAAACGGGCTATAGTGTTGGTGCACACCGGTCGCGACGTTCCATACAGACTTGTACCTATACAATTTATACCCAGAAAAATTGGCAAACAACCACAGTAACACATTACGAAACCCAAATTATGAATTTCTGGTAACGCATAATCCGAATAATTCCACCACTTTGGTCGCAGAAACGTAGGGAGGGCAGTACGGTAAAGGGTGACATGTGAAACTAAGATGTGCGTACACTGCAGTTCGACTCTCGCGATGGGCTTATGTGAGCATCTGGCAGTGACAAAAAGTGGAAGAATTCTGTCCCCTATAGGAAAATTGTGTGCATGTTGAGACCCCAAATTCCAAGATTACTAATCTACTATGACCAAGCGCCATCGAAAAATCCAGCTGAAGACGGACTCTAATGCTCCCAAAATCGTAACCAGTTACGCTAGCAGCGCAGGTCAGTAGAATAGCCGCTCAGAGCTTATTTGTCCTGTGTTGAACAGATTAACCAAAATGCAACGAATTTTGAAGTAATGAACGATGCTTATGGGTGGGAAAGGAGGTTGATTCCCTTTGGTCCCGAATATGAAGCACTCATTACGGTGGCGCTTGGAGGAGGCCAAAATGACAGACTATCAGGAAGGCCGGATTCCTGAAATCAACCACTGAATGTTCAAAATCTACTGAGACCCCCACCTCCACTAGTTGCTGACCAGACAAACAACACCGCCGCAATATGCCGCGTCGTACCGAAGCCAGACCGCTTGTTTCAGCATTGGACCTAGTTCAGACCGCGTCCCTCCAACAAATAGCTTGAGGCGGTTGTGTTTTCTCTCGCACCCGCTTGTTCGGAATATCTGTTCTGTTCCCTTCTGTGAGTGCTTTTTCCGGCACTGGAACTGGTCAGCAGTAAGATACAACAGATTGGCAAATCAGCAGATGTAACAGATTGGTGACGCCCGAACTCACGGAATTGTAACAATTACTGCTGAAGCGTTGAAAGAAATTCTGCTGCAACGACAAAATCAGTTTAGAGTGGTCGGATTTTAGATAAGCCCGATACAAACGTTATTGTCTAGTCAATGGTCCCATGTATCTGTGATAGCAAACTCGTTTTTAAAAAGATGATTCACTAGCTCCTACATTCAGAAGTGGGGTTTCTGAACTATTTGGTTTGACGTATTTGACAGACTAATTGATTAGCTTTTTGTTTTTCACGGTTCTCAGTATTTTTTTTCATCACACACTCCTAAAAAGATTGCTTATCCATTGGGTTGAGTTCTTCCCGAACATTATTTTTGTGCGTACATAAGCCTTCGTCAGCAGCCCTTGACAGGACACACTTGAGTTTCCTCTTTTGGCCGCAGTCATTGAAGTCCAGCAGGGATCCAAAGCGATTTGAAGTTAAGCTGCAGTTCAAATCCTTATGTAACCGAAGTAATCGATAAAGATAGCTAATTTCCGGTTTGAACTAGGAAGTATTTCTTCGCAACTCTGAAAATAAAATATTTAGCCTAAACGGATGGTCACTCAAGACCATGTCAAGACACCGATGGAATTCCAAAATAGCCGTGTTATTTTTACACTCCGTCCTGACAAGGGGTCTGGTGTCATTTTTTGGCAGATAGTCTTTAAGAAAAGTCCTCATATCGCGCCAAGAGATGGAGATAAGACTGAGTGAAATAGACGAAAGTTAATTGAATGTCTTCAAATATGACGAACGGTCCGAATAAGTAAGGCCGGCAGGAATTCATGGTTCGTCAAAAAGTCACGATGCTTCCCACGTTCAACTCCCCATGCCTTTTGGCTGTTTTTGAATTGCTCACCTAAATTCCAGAACCACTTCGACTCAGAAAAAAATTAGAGTTTTTTCATAGCCTTCAGGCCCACTACTCCAAAGACATTACCATGTTTGTTATTGAGGTGAATATCGGTAGCTCCGTCTGTGCCATTTTTCTTCGGTTCGTTGACTGAGCTGGGCAGTTAGGTTGGGGACCTTTCGTCACCAGTCAAGATCATATTGTCGGTATGTCGTTTTACTACTAAAATAAGCAATACGGTTCGTGATTTCTCCCGAAACATCACTTCGCTCAGCGTCATTCATTGGGGATTTAACTGTCTCACTTGCGACATCATTATTCAGAAGCGCATCGATAGTGGAAACGATCAGTTCAATATGTGATTGTACCACTCAGCACAATATTAATATTGCCGTAGTTCTTCGTGAAATTGTACTGCGGTGCACTTCCAACATGCGGGTCGATGTCAGCGGGCGGTGATACCGACAAACCGACAGTGTGGTCATGAGTTTACTGTTGAAGACATTTTCAAGCATTGCTGAAATCCGAATACACGCCACTACCACCATCTGGACAATTGATTTGTGATTGCAAACGATGAGAGATACGTATGCCGTGCCGACTGACACTGGTTCGCTACTTTGCCACTACAATTCACATTCGAAAAAGAAGCCATTCTTAGGCGTACCGCTTCAACGGTGCTAAGATTTACCGCTTCAGTGGTTCCGTGCCGGTGTGTACAAAACGCAACCTGACCCACACCAGTCGACAAACCTGTTCCACGGATAGATAGCCTGTGGAAGAATTTACGCAGTCTGACTACAACGCCAAAAAATTCGCATACCGCGTAAGTCACCGAATCGCACACATCAGGGCCAAGATATTGCAAGCCAGTCATTGCTGTTTATAGAAAGATGCTACTCATCACATTCATGGATTGTAAACTAGGTCCCAACCCTGAAAGCTTTTTGTCGAAGAGTATCCGACAGATTCAGAAAAAATAGAATGGTTGTAATGTCATTTTGCCAAATAAATGAAGTGAGAGATCACATCCACAACTGGAATAAATTTGCGATTGTCACGTAATGACGAGACGAGTCCGAAATGGCTGTATAGGCAAAATGTGCGCAAGCTCCAAATACTCCGAAACTGCGGCATTTACCCGTACTGTGAAATGAATGCTGAGCGGTGCTGCTCACGCGAGGCGAATCCAATCGATTGGGTTGTCTGAATTGGGGTCTGGTGACTGAGTTCAACAAAGGCATTCGGTATTTACCTGTGGTAGATGGAGCTAGTTTGAATCCGAGAAGAGAGACACCCATTTTGAGATGAACAACACGGAGTGTAACGTATTGCTTCTCTCGTGTTCTCGCATACATTTTTGGCTTTCACACAGTAGGGTGTGATGAAGCCTACTTGTAAAAGGTTTATCAAAAAGACGAAAAATTTCCAAGGTAGAGAGACACCATTTTGAGATGAACAACACGGAGTGTAACGTATTGCTTCTCTCGTGTTCTCGCATACATTTTTGGCTTTCACACAGTAGGGTGTGATGAAGCCTACTTGTAAAAGGTTTATCAAAAAGACGAAAAATTTCCAAGGTAAACATCAAAGAAAGCTAGTTGTACTTTTAAATAGTATTTGCGATCGAGTTTATCCGGAATATTTGTACGCATGTGTCCTTGTTCTGAGTGACATAGACACCCCAACTGTTGACCGACAGATGTCACCAGACCTAAACCGAGCAGCACAGAACCCTCGTCATTTCTGACGACTAAATCTAAGTTCGAGTCATCCGACCGGTGCTTACTTCACTATGGAATTCCTAGAAAAGCAGTGAACTATTTGCATCGTCCACCAGCCTCCTCCCAATTCAACCAACGCTTCCGTCACCAATTGTTGCTCTGTTTTATGGTCAGAAATACTTATAAACTACAACTTCTAATTCGGGTCCCCGACTAGCTTGTTTGGTTGATGCAATTTTTGCTGTTTTATATTTGTAAAGGTCGATCAAGGCTAATAGTACAGGCCGGAGTCTTCATCGTCAACATACGACAGCAAGCCCAGCGTTGCATGTTTCTATTCCGCGTGATCGCCGGTACGATTGTCTGTCGTATCTGTTGTTGAACCTCCTCCGACAACCTCCTCACAACCCAGGACTGGAAGGGACAAAGGTCAACCTAGCTTCGACCAGATTACGACGGAGGGGATGCCAAGCTCAAAGGTCACGTGGGCATCGGCGAATGGGGATACAGGACAACGGAGCAACCAATGGAATCACCCGACCGAACAACTAATCGCGACCAAAGGTCATCCCCTGCTAGCAGCACGTATATTAACACACGCACAACACTACCCAACGCACAACCACCAACCCACCGCTACGCACTACTACGCTCCACAATAACGCACTGATGATGTCACCTCGATTGGTGATAAAACGTTTGCAATCAAATTGCCCAGCTCAGCGAACAAGCCAACGACCACCATATACGACAGCAAGTTCCTGTCAATTAGGGAACTGTAGGGAAAAAACACGAACAACTCAGGAATTAACATTTTACTATGTGCCAAGTCACTCTTCCCCTAATATGCTTTAGTGACAAACAACTAGGTTCCGCTACCCTAAAGTTAGGACAAATCCAGTTTGAGAACAACAGAATACTTGAATTTCTGCGACGCGATCACATCAGGCATGAAACTACCAAGGGCGAAAATTTCACCAAACATTCTGAAATAATTCAGATATCCGGGCCATATCCTCTCTTGCACATCTTCAGTGTTCAAGTTGAACGGAAGCTTGGTACCGTACAGCGCTTTTGTCAATGGTATCGTGTGTTTGACTTTTCGAGCCGTGTGTCAGTGCCATTGGGATTGGAACAGTTAAGCTTTCCGGGGCACCGGAAAAGTAATCGATTATTGCCAGTGGTAATTTCTTAGACTAACTGGCCGCAACCAGGACGTATTCTGTTTCAGCAAATCTTGGGACACCCTGTCTCCGAGAAAAAATACGCCCAGGACGCCTTTTGGCAAGCTCTGTGTCTTCTATTGTTTTATTCAGTCTTGCTTCAATGAGACTCCTGTGGTCCTCCGAGGGGCTGCGATAATCATGACGTGAATTCATCGATATCCAGTCTGAGACCGGGTTTGGAGAGAATTTGTTTAGTTTCACTGGATTTCTGGAGGATCGTTCAGGTGTAGCACCCTTTCGATGCCCAACTGTCATGCCAGTGGAAAGAGGCCTGAAGGCTGGGATACTACCAAGTTGACCACGCCTAGACAGGAGCACTCAAAATGCTCCGGACCTTCCGGATCGTAAGCTGGTGCCTTAACCGGTGAGCTACCTCGAGTAGGAAGGTATCAACGCCTCGCCATGCAAGAGGTTCACTGATAACACTGATTTTGCGGCCGTTAATACACTGGCCAGAGATTTGGTGAAGCATATGAGGCTCAAGTACATGGACCAGCGTCCTTGATGACTCCTCTGAGAGAGCAATCGACCAACAAGCGAAGGTCTTTAGTTTAATTCTACACAAAAGCCCCTATCTTTCCGTTCATACACCCACCTAGTAAAAACTCAAACATCAACCGAAAGGTCCAACTCCTGTCGTCCTGGAAGCCAATGAACACTTCTGGGTTGGGAAGCGGTTTTGTGAAAAAGGCTTGACGGTGCTACGGTCAAGTGCCATTAGTCCATGTAAGTTAAATATTGTTGGGAAGGTCGACAGAGGCTCCACGTCTATACACGTCTGTACATACATCATATTGATTAATTTGGTAAAGACAGGGCGCTGCCAACATCCAATCTTTATGGCATGCCAAGTTCCCACCGCATAAGACAGGCAAAAGTGCATTCGTGCATCAGTTGCAAATAATTTACTTCCCAGAAGGACGTATTTGCGAAAAAGATAAAAAAAGACACTGAATTCCGATGCGAAATTGCTGTTCCAATATCGCACTTGGTCTGGATTATCGAGAAAAAGATACCGTGTACTGAACTGTTTACCGTAACTCTGTCAAAGCGTCACGTTATGTTACTTTAGTAAACATGACCTTGAAACCGGGTTTGCTTGGTATTGAAAAAATGGACCTTTGAAGGATATTTCGTCTGGAGTGAAGGAACGACATCAACAAAGTTCCGCAGAATACAGTTCATAGTGGATACTTCACGATCCTCTACTCCCAAATTCGTCTTAAATCTGAAAAGGGTAACTAAGTTACTAAATACGAAAGTTCAGGGTAGTCAAAAGTCAAGTGAACAAACTGTACAACCGCCATAAGAATTATAAACGGCCATGGATCGGATCGAAGGCTGAAAGATGATAAGAGGGAAAACCAAAACCAATACCAGAATTTTTCGAACAATGAATAGTCAATGTCCGTCTGAAGACGAGGAACTCTATCACAGATTAGATTTGCGTGCGCAAAGAACCTTAGAAAATAAACTAAAATACACACAGAGAAGTATCACAATCCAGCTCGCTTCTTTGACTCTTTGGCTTCGTCAAACTGAAGTTTCTCCCATACCCAGTGTTGTGCAACCACGTCTCTGTTGCACACATTTGCCACAACTTTTGATGTAGTCGCGTGTGCCTCTAGACAATAATTGGTGAGCGCATGCTTTATTAAGATCGGATTTCGGTTGTCCTCCTCCAGAGGTTCGACAATCCAATGCTGATTTCCATGCATTCCATGGCATTCGAACATGACAACTGGCGCATTTTGCCCGGCATGGGGAAGGTCCCAGCAGTTCTTACTGGAAAGAACGGAATTGAATATAGAACAAGGACGAACATGGAGCTAATTACTAGTACAGGGAATCTTAAAAGAAAAGCACTCTCAAGATCGTGTAGAATAATTGTTCCTGAACACACTCTCTCTTCAAAGAACCTCATATGCTTTGCCTCGAAGAAGGCACCGACGCGTAATACACGTGCATTCGTGAGCCAAAAGGTTTGACTGAAAATGCAGAGGACGAACAAGAACTAGAAATTTCATCACTTGTTTTCCCGGACCGGATAAACACGTGAATGTAAAGAAGTGGTCCTTATTCAACGGCACCCTACCTTTGTTAATTTCTATACCGAACTGCTGCTGTGGTTTGTGTACTTTTTAAGTGAGCATCCCTACTGTATCACTATCTGGTCCAGCAAACTGTTTAAGACAGTTACTTCATAGTCACTACATACCTACAAATGTTGGTGCTGTCATAAACCATTCCATAAACCACAGCATATACGAAACGTAAAGTACTGCGAAAAGTACCATGCAACCGAGTACACTTTATACAAAGGTAGTCACTCACTGTTTCACTGGGCGAATATCATCGGTATAGGAAAGCTCGAACTTCTGCACTCCATTCCCACCGGTATATTCCAAACACTTCTTGAGCTTGATGGGTTCTGTTTTGGTGGCACCCTCAGCATCCACGCAAAGCGTCCGATCGACAACAGGTCTGACATCACCAGTCGCAGCCGAAACAGGCTCAACTAATGGATATTTTTTAGTCAGATCAAAGGCAATCGTCTGCATGAACCATTTGAATGGTTTGCACTGCAATCGTTCCCGGACCGCCTTCTGTTCGGATAAGTCACCAGCATCGATGTGTCTGTAATGAGGTCGACGACTATAGATATATTCCTTGTATTCATCCATCCATGTTTCGGCAACACGCCTGAAAAATGACAAAAACATTTCTCGAGTGAACCACTGGCTGCTGGATGTATTATCCCTTCCTGATGGCACAAATCAGACACCCAAAAATACGAAATAAAGTAGCCATAGATCAAAGTGAAAACGTCTGAGTTCCCACCGAAAGACGAAATCCATGGCAATATAGTTAAGACATTCATTCAGTATCTTATACAGTTCACAAGAATATTGTGAGACACTGTTTGGTTGGTTGTTCGTCTAGCTAGGAAGCACTGTCAATATTTTGCCATCACTACGGGGAACTTCATCCGGGGTGCGGGAGCCGTCTATGGACATTCTGAAGGGTGGGATATAAAGACGTACTAGCGTTATTGCGCCATCAACCCTCGCAGCTACATCAGTGTGAAGACATAGTTGTTTCACCCCCATACAATTCTACGGCTTGATTTAGATAACCCCGCAGAATAACATAAATGCAAACAGGACTTTCGCTATCCTACTACGAACACCCACTCAATATGATTACAAACTGAGGGCCGCACCACCACTCACACTGGCTGACCATCAGATCTTGTAAAATCACGCAAGTAAAAAAAAAAAAGAAAAACAGGGAGATAGTCAGACAACACACTGAAACACGGGATAGGAAAATAAACCGCCACAGAAAACTCAGATCAGCTAAGGAGAGGAAAAACACCACAGAGCTATGCTGAATCTCTGAACTGAAACTAGCTTGCGTAGAACACCACACCAGCACTCCAGTCACCGAATAACAGTATGACTCCCTTAAACATACAATCCATCACGATTTGCAAGTTGTCATAAAGGATTGATGATGGGATCCAACGAATGCAGTGAAATCGCGGCTAAACAACAACAATTGCGATTCTGAGCGAAACTGGGTTCCAGCATACGGTTGCATTTTGGTTACGATTACTCATTACATTGTAATGATCACTTATTGATCACGGGAAGCAGGGTCATAGTAAAAGACAGAACAGATCCGTCAGCTTAACGATGTACAAACACTACTAGAACAGGTAAGAGAGACCTGTATCTGAGCCCAAGATTGATGCGTTTTGTGCCTTTTTGTTTCCCGAACATTCTTGCTCAGCTCAGCGAATTTTTGCCTGTATTTCTTCGACACGGAGAGTACTTACCGTGCTACTACAGTATTATCACAAGACTGGCCTACATTAGCTAAATCAGCCCAGACATGAAGAGTTATCTGAAAACACTTCAGCTTGCCACGACCAAAGACCTTATGTATGTCTGAGAAAATCTGATCCCTACAAAAATGTCGAACACCCGACCGTCCTCCCTCCTTTCGGAAAAGGAACTTCGCCAAAACGATAACTTGACGCTCCATGATGAATCATCAAAAAGCAAACAATCCAGAGTTTGATGAACAATTACAGGAAATGGTGGACAATAAGACAAAGATTCCCATAAATCTAGGAACTACAGGGAAACCTAACATTCCGATCACATTATCACTCACCACCCCTATTCAAGGATGATGAGTAATTGTTTGTGGGTGCGATCACAAGCTTGATGTATATTATATAGAAGGAAGGGAAGATAGTGAGTTAGATTTCACATATTGTGCCAGAACGAAGTGAGGTAATCCGAGTTATCAAAGCAATTACGCTTGTCAGAAATTCTTGAAGAAATCATCACGAAAAGACCAGAAGAACTCAACCAGTCTGTGAAAACCAGATGGTCCCGTCAACTCCTGGATGCCTTAATTTCTGACAACCTGGACTTTGGCGTACTTACACACGAACGTCTTTATGGAACCGAAAGTAGTGTTTGGATCAGCCGATCACTCCGTTTTGCGGTGATGCCAGACCGGCAGAGGTATTCATTTCGCTTTTATGCTCACCGAACTACAACACGCATGGATGAAGAAAGGTGTGCGTGCAATCTTTTATTGAGTTCATCATCGGACTGTTGCTGGACGCAACAGTCTCCCCTAGTACTTCCCTTCAACTTCAGGGTATAAATCATTAGGTGAGCATACAGTTACTTTACCAAACAGACTCGAATGACAGGGTGGGCAGATGCTATTTTGCAGAATGATATGAAGACCATCTGCATCGTCCACAGACAACGATGCCGCGATGAAAGCTAGAAAAATGTCCTTATATTTATTAAAATCGGAATTCCAGAACATAATTAGAATCGCATTCAATACCACCAGTATTGTATTTTGAAATAAGCAATTTTTATCTTTGTTGCATAGCCCTGTTCACTTGACTTCTGCCAGCTGCTAGTGAAGATTTGTCAAGGCTGAGATCAACGTTAGAGATTTTGTGAGGGGGTTATTCCGAAATGTTCACATAACCCCATAAACCGCCTTAACTCAGGCCGCAACCAAACTATTGTTGATAATACCTCAGAAAGCGAACAAGATGCAGCCTTTATAACATATCAATCCTCTAATATTATCTTTGACTATCTCAGTGAGGTCCTGTTTCAGGGATTAACTGAGAAGACTTCTATGTAAACTTCAAACCACACTGCTCCTCCCCTTGATCGGAAGGACCGGTTCCACCACACCTCTCTGTCCACACACACACACACACACACACACAAAAGTCCGGGTTGTCGTTTAACTGATTGTCCAGAGGAACTATACTCCCAACCGGATGGGAAGCAGCCATCGAATCAAGAAGTGGTGGTGACAGTTCTGAGATCTAATGATTTCTATGTTCCAAGCCGAAAACATCAGAAGCAGTTTCCGGTGTCACCTACAGTTGTGGTAATCTCATCCTATTTGCGACCAATGTCATCTAGGGGGGCCGCATATAATGCACTGCGTAGTCGGCTTTAGTATGTCCTCATACTTCGTGCATAGCAAAACTTTTTCCAGCCACGTAAGGAGCTCGTTTCACGAATTTTCGTCAGAAATTTAATGAGAACCGGCAGCGAACTAATGTGATTTGATTCGACCGATGTGTTCCGGAGCAACTAGTGGTTAAGTAATGAGTTGGCTGTCGGTAACTGATAGCAAAGTGGCCTATTTGACTCCGAAATTTCTCGGCAAAAGGATACCAGTTTGTACAGCGGTGCCGACCACCCCTAAATCCAGTATTCTTGAAAAGCAACTGGTGATCAGTACAATATTGTAAAAGACGTTCACCATCATCAGCGGGTCTTGCGTCCAGACTAAACATGCCACCAAGAGATGTCTCTAGTGAACTCACGTGCGCAATTTGTATATTTAAATCTCTTTCTAATATGACTATATCTGAGCTCTCTCCATCTCTCTCTCTCTCCATATATATATATATATATATATATATATATATTCTGCTCAAGATGGCTCAGTGGTTAAAGCACGGACTTACTGACCGGAGGATGCGCTGTTGGAACCCGACCTCTGGATGTCGAGTGCTCCTGTCAAGGCTTTGCTAACCTGACAGTATCTCGACCCTCGTGTTCCCTTCGGGTCGCATTGCAGTTAGGCACCGAATTGATGCTACAGGTGAACCCCTATCATTATACCTGAGCACTTCGTGGTGGACAAAAGGGTAATCATCAACAGGGTCAGCAACATCAGCGTTGGAATTGATGCTTCACTGCCGTACCAGCAGTTTATTTAATCGTACTCAAAGCCTTAAAGTTGGAGGGAGGGAAGTATGAATGAGGGGAGTGCCTGATGCAAAAGAGCCGGGAGAGCAAGCATTAAATGAAAAGCTGACCAAAATTAGCCAGTCCTTCGGCTCGTGCTTCGTGCCCATAGGGCACAAATACGAGCTGCAATGCTTACAATCTTTCATCATGTCTTTGGGAATTAAGAGGGGGACAATGGAGGCTGTGGAACACTATACGTATCTTGGAAGTTGCATTATCTCTGACATTTGTGTGGCAGATGAATTGAACGTACGAATCTCGGAGGCCAGAATTATGTTTGCGAACCTGCACCACTTGTGACGCCAAAAAGGCATCTCACTGTCTTAAAGAACGTGTTTATCAAACTACAGTACGGAATGCGAGACTTGGCCATCCCGGGCGGAGAATTTGACACATCTTCAGACCTTTGACTACCGATTTCTCAGAATTATAGCTGAAGCCCGCTGGGACTATCTAAATAGGTATGAGACGATCAGGAAACGGTGCTATTGTAAAGCCGAATGAACTTCGCTCAAAGGATGCATGTAGTACTGAATGCTAAGGCGGCTGGGCCATGTGTTGCGCATGTCACGTTACAATTTGTTGAGACAAACGCTGATTTCCGTGCCTCATTCGGAGTAGCGGAAACCTAGAAGTGAATGGAGCTTGACATGGTAGAATGGAATAAAAGATGTTGCGTAGAGATTGGGAGCCTTTGGTTTTGCTTCCAAGATGGGGTCCAAGTGACCCTTCCTGTATTTCACTGGAGACACTGAAAGATGTGGCAGCAAACTGATATCAGTGCCATTCACGCCGTCAGTTTCTATCTAGATTGTCTGACTGAGTGATGGTGTAGGCACTTGAGAAGTTTGTGATAGGCTAGCTCTGAGTCTCCTTCCTTCTCCATCCCTCCCGTCTTTCGAACTTCAATAAAATAAACTGACATTGTTGTACGGCAGTGAAACACTACTGTTCTCACTTGCTGCTGCTGTCAACGAAGATGATGACTATAGAAAGTATTCCGAGCTCTCTAAGCGCTCAATCACAATCCAGAAAGAAACTGACGGCATGAATACTCCTAAAACTGGTCAGCCATTTCTTGTGTTGTATATAGTCAAGCGCATAGGGGTTACGTGGATAATATTCTGAAAGAGGACTGAAGAAACAACACCTGAACTCTTCATAATCCAATTCATACCCTTCTGCCATCATCATCATCATCATTGACAGCATGACATCAGTGTTCAACACCGATGCTTCACTACCGTACCCTTCTGCCAAATCATACGTTCTCCAGATTGTAGTTTGCACTACTCTGTGAGATGCACGGAGCAAGAACAATCGTCTCGTTAGACGCTGTTTTGGCATGCACAGCACATGGGCGAGTCACCACAACTGAGTGCTGGATGTTTTCCGCGACTATTTTATCTGCTGCAAGATCGAACACCCGATTCTTAATCACCTCGGTACGAACAGGTTGACGCCATCCAACACCACTAACTCTTCTGAGACATCAGTGGTAAAATTCATGAGGACGTCCACAGAGGTTATGTCCCGCAACCACATAGCAATACGGCTCTTAATGCACCCTCCTACATGCGACCCTTGAGATCGCGTGACATGACGGTCGGTTTATTCAAACCTGTCTTCGAAAACGGGGATAGTGCCGCCTTCCGAAATGTGAAGATGTGGTCGACGCAGCCCCCCCCCACCCCCGGGCCCATATCCCGCCTGATATCCGCGGGTCAGGGATTTGTGCGCAGTTGTAGGAGGACGGAAAATCAGTGGAGCTACCCGTGTTAACACAGGAGTTCAGCAGAAAACTCTGTGGTGACTGTGTTCACCGTCGGTACCTTTTTTGCAGATGAGGACTATTATCGACAATCTGGGCAATCTCTCCCCCAGATAGACGCAAAGAGGCTAGACAAACATCGGATGAGGAAATGACCGAAGTCCTTGAACGGAATATGTGGTAGGCCGTCGGAACCAGCAGCACGATGAAGCGTGAGCAGATATACACTAGGGCACTTCTGAGGCTGAAGAGGGCTATGTATGCACAGTCCACGCTTTTGCTGACAGGCTTTTGATGACAGTCCAGACTTGAGGTAGCACGCGGCAGTCATCAAAAGATCCTCATTCGCTGAGTACCAGAGGGCTATTACGGTCCATGATGGTTTATCTGATAAGGGACTTGCGAGGACCAGTCGAATGAACTGAGTGAAACAATACTCGGACGTTTCCAGCATTTATCACACAGAACAATGACTCAGATTTTCGGATCCATCAATATTCCCCATCTGCGAGCAAACTTTATCTCACCTGGCGTCAGATGACGGGTCGAGTTGAGTTTCGGTCAATCAATCAACCACTCAATTCATCAGCTATAAACTACATACCACAGGCCCATTCGTTCCAGCTGCTACAGGTTTGATCTCCGGATGATACGCCGGGGATTAACCCGTGCAGTGAGGGCGATGGCATGTTTGGTTAATTGAGGGAACTGGGTAGCTCCGCATTGAAGGTGACAGCTCGGATGCATTGGTGCCACTGACTGCGTGATTGAGCCATTTCTTCCAGTGTCATTTACAATTGGTGAGTTGAGTCCCAATGTTCCCATCCAGAGAGGCGGCAGTTGTCGACCCGACTGTTTACTGGTTGGTGTTTTCATAATCCGTTGCCACCTGTTGGTCGTTCCCACTCAGCACAAGGCTGGGCGATTCAACATCTGCGAGGCAGACGGTCTTTGGCATGCGGATTATATATTCTAGCCAGCGTAACCTCTGAGGCTTGAGTAACACACCTATCACGGGAGAGTTCCTTCTTCCTAGGACCATCTGGCGTATCTCAATATCACAAGTCTGATGTTCCCACCTGACCAGTGCTTCTGAGACATCAGTGGTCCTCTGTGCGTAGAGACCACGTTTATGATCTATAAATCAATATGGATCGCCCTGCCCTTGTTAAGCGAACTGACGTCACGTTGGCGCCAATGTTTAACCTTTGGCAGTCGCTGATCTTCGAAGCTATTTCAAACCATAGAAATAGAGGATCTCCAGGTCTCTCTGACATGTGTCAATTTTGCTTAGGATCTGAAGCCAAATGGTCAGATACTGACCGTTTTCGTATGTCCTCTGCGCGTAGCGGGCACGTTTGTGATCCATTAATCAGTATGGATCGCACTGCTGCGGTGTAGATTCTGCCCCCGACAGACGAGCTAACGTCGCGTTAGCGCCATAGGTCTCGGAGATTGGCATAATCAGTCATGGCTTTCCCCAGTGCGGGAAATAATCTCATCTCCAGAGAGTCCACGGGAACTTAAGAGACTGCCCAGGTAAACCAATTTATTAACCACTTCGATCGGCTCTTCTGCAAGCATGAGCTTTGGGTCTGGTCCCATCCAGTTTTGTGGCAATACTTTAGTTTGCGGATGTGAAGCGCATGTCGAGAAGTGTGGCGAAATCACCTGAGTCATTTTGAGCGACTTGTATTTTCTAACAAAGTGAATCGAGGAAAGCAATTTTAGAATGCGCAGTGTTTGTGAGCGAACATCCAGGGAGCATTTCGACTTAACGTTTCAAAGGCAGGCAGAGAAATCTCGAGCAAAGCATCAATAACAAGCTGGAGAGAAAAGGAGAGACGGCAGCCTCGTCTTACACCGCTCGACGTGGTAAAATCAGCCCAGACCATGTCCTAAGCGACTTTTCTATTTCATAACGTTGCTGTCAAAGGGAAACATGGCCATTGTGCAACTAAGAGTGGTACCGAGATACTGCCACAAATGACACTGGAGAGGTCAGGATACAAATCAAACTGTGGGTTTCATAAAGTCTCAGACAAGTGTGACTCGGTGGGAGGAAAGCGATTAATTCTCGTGTCTATCGGGACAAACCACTGAAAAACACATAAAACTCCCTGATGGGGGTTACGCAAGTGAAAAATATAGACAAACACAGTCATCCTGCAAGGCGGAATGATTTGTGAACTACCAAAGAATCATGATGGTCACCTAGTCTAACACATACCAGTGAGATCATATAATTGACACCCTAGAAACATCGCACGCGGCTACGACTCACTTATAATTCTTCCCCAGGAAGTCTCCCAAACCTGCGCTTGGGAAGTCCGTAGGATGGGTTCGATAAATATGGCCGATACGCGAACATGGAATGTCGATCATCCGACCTCCGCACATCCAAATTTTGAACGACAGTTCATATTGCTCACCACCCCAAATAACGAGCCCAGGGTCATACCCACCAAGTTCCCAGAACCACTTTGCACTAATGGCAAAAAGACCGCCAGCCATTACCGGACTATCAAAGGGCTGTTCCGGATGTGGCAAATCCTGCGGTAGCTTCGGTAGTCGTTTGTAAAACAGCTCCCAATCAAAAGCGCCGCGAGCCCCTTCGTCTTGCGCCCGATACTCGAACGTGTCTGCGCTTATGACATCAATGAACGGACAAGTAACGACCTTATGGTCTCGAGCGATCGGATCTACGAGCGGCGGTAACCAGTTTGGATTCGGTTCGCAATGAGAGTCCAGGAAAACCAAAACGTCACCAGTCGCAGCTCTCGCTCCCCGGATGCGGGCTGTTATCAGACCCTCACGCCTCGGGGAGCGAATAACACGCACCAAGCCATCCGGATAATGCTCTTCCAGATATCTATCGAGTGGTTCTTTCAAATATTCTCGCGTACTGCCATCGTCAACGAGAATGACTTCCTTAATTAACCCAGGTGGGGATCGCTTAAGGGACGAAACGAAAGTTCTGAGCAATGCATTCCAGTTTTCCTGAAAGAAGGGTATCACAAGTGACACACTAGGAAGTTTGGCTAAGTACAGCATGGCTTTGCACTTTGGATGGCGTATATCTGCAACTGCTCTGTCGATGGCTATCATGTCGCTAATGTATGTGTTAAATCCATTCTGATTGAGGAATTTTTCCGATTCGACTTTCTGTTCACCAAACAATCGAACAGCAGCACCTTGTTCGCCAGGACCAACTCTGTTAGCCTCTTCCTTGGCCAAGCTAATGTCCTCATAACTGATTAACGTATTAGGTTCCGGTGCAGGAACAGGTTCGTGCCTAACTTCGATATGTTCAGGTCGGTAAAACAGCCATACAATATAGGATGGCACCAGTAAACACAGGAGATAGCGAAGAACATTACTGCGGCGGAAACGCATGACACAAAACCGAAATACCCCGCCAATGAACCCACGGGTTCAGGGTCAGCCTTTCAGTTCAGAGAGCTCTCGATTTTCACGGGACTCATGGATTTACGGAATGATACACAGGATCGAGGCCTTTGCTCAAGTTTCCCAGGTCTGTTTCGTTCTTGTCGGTCAGTGGCTGTCGTTCACCTGAAAGGTACAAGTGAAAAAGAGGGTAGCACTGCTCTTTATGTTCTCAGCGCGGGGCAGTATGCTTGCCAGCGCGAGGATTCGCATAAATAAATGTCTAATAGTGCTTTTAACTAAGTTTTAGAAGAAGCGTGGACAACCGTCGGGGGAAGGTCATTCCATGTGGCTACTATCCGAAAAAAGAAAAATTTTGTCCAATGAATGTGTGTGCTCTGAGCTTGGAAAATTTCTTACTATGTCCCCGCCGTGTGTTTGCTGGGTCACCGGTGAAAAACCTGTTTGCCAAGCTTTGTTCAAACGATGCATAATTAAGGATTAGATCTCTTCGGAGGCGACGGTAATCCAGGGGAAAGAGATCACGCATCGCGAGACGCGTTCCGTAGTCCACGGATTTGAGGCCGGCGACCCTTCTCGTATCGGCTCGCTGAACACACTCAATGAGTGTGACGTCTTTCGTGGTCCTGAGTAGACAACTTGGTTGGCGAACTCCAGAAGCGGTCTGGCGTAGGCCCCGTAGGGTATTTGGAAGTCCATGCGAGTGTACCGGAGACGGTGCGTCGGATCATCCGTAAAATGGAGGATAAATTTTGGGACGATTTCTCATGGTGAAATGAGAAGAACAAATTAGAGCAGACCCAGATGCCCAAATCCTTTTGGACATCTAACCTCATGAAGTTTTCTGGTCCTTTCTCACCATGCACGGATTGATACACAGGATCGAGGCCTTCGTCCAGGTTCTCCGGGTCGGTTTCCTTCATGTAGTTCTGCGGCTGTCATTAACCTGAAAAGCACAAGTGATAAAGGGGTGTGGTACTGCTCTTAAAGTTCTCAGCGCTGAACAGCATGCCTGCCAGCGCGAGGACTCGCATAAATAGCTGTCTAATAATGTTTTGAACTGGGTTCCAGATGGAGCGTTGACAACGGTCGGAGGAAGATTATTCCACACGGTTACTACCCTAAACGATAAAAATTTTGCCCGATGAGGGTGTGCACTTCTAGCTCGAAAATCTTCGTACCATGTCTCTGCCGTGTGTTTGTAGGGCCAACGAAGAAATACCTGTTCAAACAGGGCACAGATAAGAATTGGGTCCCCTCGGAAGCAACCATACCCAAGGTGAAAGAGGTTAATCACCGCGAGACGTGTTTCTTAGTCAAAGGATTTAAGTTCAGCAACCATTCTCGCATCAGCTCGCTGGACACGCTCAATTAGGCTCAGGTCATTCTTGCCCCGTGAGTATTAAACTTGGTTCATATATATAAAAAGCTATCTGACCTGGAGTCCGCAGAGTTTTTGAAAGTTCATGCGAGTATTGCGGGAGGATGTGCACCGAATCATCCTTCAAACGGCGAATGCCTTCTGAGGAGATTTGTCACGGCGCAAAGATAAGGGTTTGTTCGAAGGGATCCACATACCCAAATCAATTTTGGCATCCATCCTCGTGACTTCTGATCATTGCTGACCGTACATGACAAAGTCGTTCGCTGAGTCTCCTTCAAATAAAATATGAACGCACATTTTGTCATTCAGAGGAGGTTGAGAGTCCGGCGACAATTGCTTTGCCCGACCTGAAGCTGTCGCCTTGACGTAGTGGTCGGGGTTGAGTGCTGCAATGATCCCGCGGGCTACACCGGCTGGATCTTCGTCCCACAAGGTGCAACCATGCCAGGAAGGCCAAGGTGGAGCAGCAAGACCAAAAGCAGCGAGACCCCGTACTACTAGTAACCGTGCTACGAGGCGGTCTGGGGGTAAATTCGTACTGTCCTCTGCGACAGGAGTGGGAAGGCAGTAAGGTGTTTCCCCGGGCGACCAGCATGTCCATATTTATGGAAGCAGCGATGCTGCCTTCCCCCGAGTAAGGACGGGTTAGAAAAGGTCGGCCCCATGAACCCCACACTCTGATCGCCCAACGGTTGACCGTGACCGCCGGCGCATTATCCAATACGGTCGAAATACTTTTAAAACCAAAGAGCCCGGTGCTGCTCAAAAGGCACCTGCTGTGCGCAGCCGCATCAGGAATGAGACAGTAATGCCTTATTCCCTGCGCCCTCGGGTTAGGCCAACCCCCTGCAGCCGAGCAGGTCAGACTATTGAGCCATCGGCTCCGGGCAGGGTCCTCAAAGAAAACCCTACATTCTCCCACTGCCTCGTGGGTCAGACTTTTGAGTCAGAGGCTAGGGTCAGGGTCCCCGAACAAAACCCTACGTCATCCCACCGCCTTGTGGGTCAGACTATTGAGTCGAGGACTCAAGGTGGGGTACCTCAACCAAACACCCTTCCTCGGCCTGGGCAACCGGGAAGTATTATTTGCCCGCGCAGTTCGGCGTCCACCGATGTCCCTCCCCAACCACATCTCAGTGCACAAGCGAACGTCGCTGGGCCATTTGACTGTCAGTTATCTGACCGAAGGTCCTTACGCTCTTCGCTGCCTACAAACATTAACCAAAATAACACCTTTCTAAGCCCACGAGATCCTTTCTATTTAGGAGCTTTTAAAGTCCGTACTCTGTCAAATTGGCAAACAGGCATTCCTTGCTGAAACCTTGTACCCACTTAAAATCGAAGTACGCTGTGCCTCCAAAATACGCATACAAGACCAGAGCGTGGTTCTGCATCTCAGAACACCAAGGATGAACTCAGATCTTTCACAGTTCTCCCTCCGTGTGTCTGATGACCCAGAAGCGATGATTCTTGGAATATAAGTCGTGGGAGTTGCACTCAGCCCCAGAGCTGAACGCGCTTTGCTGGATTGGATCCCAGTGAACAGTCGTCTCTGCGCCATCCGGCTATCCAGTTCAATCAAGCTCAATGCCTCGCGGCATTAAAAGCGGTGCCTATTTGTCATGCCGGCTTTTTCCCCAACGAACTGCAGTTCTGATGAGGGGAAGGATACTTTCTATCGAGAGCTATCCGGGATCATTCGTCAGACAAAAGGAACTGACATTGTGGTCCTTGCAGGCGATTTGAGCGCTCAGGTGGGTAGTCTGACCTCCTCGGAATCACATTTGGGTGGTCGATTCGGAGTCGATGCTCCCCGCACAGACAATCGAGATCGACGACTTCAATCGTGTGCTAATCACGAAGTGTTTCTGGCGAGTACGAACGTTCAACATAAACGTTCGCACCAAGTAACCTGGCGGCCGCCAACTACAAATCAACCGTGGACACAGTTGAACCACGTGGCCATCAGCCACCGGTGGCGAGCCACAATTCAAGAGTGTATTTCCTTCTGTAGCACACCACTCGATTCCGATCGAGCCACGGTGCACGCACGCCTGACGGTTTGTTTCCCTCCAGGCTCTCGCAAGTCGGGAAGAAGCACGCCAATCCACTATCTTCGAAGAACTGCCATAGCTCAACAGTATCGATCCTAGCTAGCCCAAAAACTCTCCACAGTAAAACAGTACTGTGGTGGCAGTGAGCATGTGGACGAAGCGTGGCAAAGTATGAAGGGAGTTATGCAGGCTGCGTTCAGTGCTGCCTGCCCGACTTCTCCAATTCGACCACGGGACCACTGGATATCGTCGAGATCATTATCCATGATTGACGCCAGGAAAGCCATATCAGCAGGCAACGAGTACGACGGTGCACGCAAATCCCTCAAAAGCCAAATAGTGAAGAGCCTAAGAAAAGACCGAGAGCTCTGGTGGATATCAAAAGCTCTGGAGATGGAGACGGCTTCGCTACGGGAAACAGCCGTGCATTTTGACAACTGATACGATCGACTGTGTAAAGTGCTACTGCAAGATTGAGTGGGCTCGAACCCTATCTTTATGCTTGCGGATGAACCGATCGAGGTAGTAGACAAATTTGTTTACCAGGGTAGCTGTATCAGTCCCAGTGGTCTGGCGAAAAATGATATTTCCATCCGGATTTGGAAGGCCAGAGCAGCTTTTGCGAACCTACGTCACCTGTGGCATAGGCGTGACATCAGCTTCTCTGTCAAGGATGGAATTTACAATGCTGCGGTGCGTTCCATATTACTATATGGATCAGAAACCTGGCCGCTGCGCGCCGAGGACGTCAAAAGACTTTCAGTGTTTGACCATCAATGTCTTCGGAGCATTACCCGAATCTAGTGGGAACACCGGGTCAGCAATTCTTAAGTACCTCGAATGGTATTCGGGAGAAATAACTCACTCTCGATAGATGAACTGATCACACTGCATAGGTTGCGCTAGCTTGGCCACATGCTGCGTATGTCAGTCGTCCGACTTCCCCGAAGGGCTCATTTCACACAAACAACTGAAGGGTGGAAGAGAGCCAGAGGCGGTCAAACAATAACTTGGCAGTGCGAAGTTTGAAAGCAGTTACCAGCAAACTCAGCTGCGCTGGTCACTGCCGTCTTCCTGGATGGGGACCCGGAGACGGGCCACATCAATGACTGGAGACATTGTTACACATGTCCCAGTCGCGCCCTCAATGGTGCTCGTGCATCCAAGCGATTGCCTTCACTGCAAAGCTCCTTTACCAACCCCCATTGACAGCCTACTGACAATGCTGGATATATGCACCAATTTACCAGCTCGCGACTGGATTGCGCAGATTCCTCAACCCCCTCAAATCATCGGCGGACGAAACTACGGCAGCTGCAGCCACTGTACGCCGAGTACGCGGTTATCACAGCTGATGGTGATGATGAATGGTGCTTTGCGGTGTCCACATCCGTTTGGAGTGCGATGGGAATTTGATCTCCAGAAATTCAATACGTCTGCAGAAACTGAACACTGGCTTGCAAGAAAATCCGGAAATCGTTAACAGACATCGGAAACAGAGTGGTCCAAAAACTAAACCTTCAGGAACTCCAGTGGAGGCCGGAACTGGTAGGCACTTCCTAATTTCAT